TCATTAATAAAGTGTGTTTCCAAGAACAAACACAAAACTCTGTACAAATAAAATAGCTGTTCCCTTTCAATGGCATTCAATGGTGTTGCGATTTTGTGGTGGGAAAATTGTGTTTCAAAATTGTCCTTTTGCCAAAGCTTGATTGAAACTTTCAAACTGAGGTGAGGTCCTCCCCTTCGTTGCCTCGGTTTCACGCTGAATGTGCAAATGCGTATTATTTCGGGTAAACGTAGGTGTTTTTCTGAGCAGGGGTAATACCTTTATTTCTCTCCCCAGGCATTCCCATGGTGTTATACACACAAACACACCTACACAAAGACACACACGGAATATGTGTTTGCAATATGATCTGTTTTCCTACTGCCACCAGGTATTTCTCATGGTCACTATAAGGTTTAGGATTTTTGGTTAAGTCTTATAGTAGCATGAAAAACACTAAAGGATTGGTTCATCTAAATTATAATAGAGCATATTTCAAACCTCGTGTAATCTATACATATCTTTTTTTGTAAAAGTCTGACATTCCTGAGTTTCTTTGAATGAATAGTTTGAGTTTTTGGAGGGAAATTCTCTTGTTTACATCCTTAAAGCTACATAAAAAGGGCAATGATACTCTCAGGCTTAGCATAGCAAAAAGACTGGAAACAGAGGGGAAGAGCTAACCTGGCTCCGTCCAATTCAACAAAGGTGTTAAAAAGCTTGAAAATACGTGGTTTTATTGTGATAGCGACAAAGAGCAAGACAGTCAAGAATAGTTCCAGCACTTCTGTATTCTTCTTGAAACCAGAACTTGATAGTTTTACATTTACTAAGAAACTTATAACATATTCATTCGTGAGCTTTATGGGTGCTCGTACAGTAGAGAGTAGTTTATTAGATTTGAAGTGAACCACGTTAGCGGTTTCTAGTTTTGTATGCTAAGCTATGGATCATATTTACCTAAAAAATAAATAGATGTTGTTTATGTTGTTATTCAATTTACGGCAAGAAAGCCAATTATCATACTTCCACTATTCTTTAAAGGTTGGAGCATAGTGTGGGGTTCATTTGTGTTTGAATTCTCAACCTGAAAAACAGGAAGTTAACCACTTAAAACACATTCAAATCAAAATCAAAATGAAGTTGATAATAAAGTGTTGAGCCACGAGGGATCTTTGTCAGGCTCTGCACATACCAAGAGCTCTGTAATGGACTTAAGGGGTTAAACATGATCGTTGAAATTTGGATATCATTTATTGGTATGCAGATTGCTAATGTTGGGGATTTACAAACACTTTTAACTTGGCCCTAATTCAAATACATGCTGCTGCATATTGAACAAGTTAGAAAATTCAAGGGAGTCTGCCTTAGTTCAAAGAATATGAGATAAAAACTTCAGAGACCCACTTCTACATGTTTTTTGATTGATCATTTTTCAAGTGTAGGAAGCAAGTCTTCACTTGCATCTCCTCTCTTTAAAACTTGATATGATAATCTAACCAATGGGTTTGTTGCGAAAGATTGACAGAGCAAATGTGAATAGTTGTATTGCTATTTTTTTGATTTTTTAATTGTACAATGTTATTTTCGTTCACATTGTATATTTATTATTATCTGACACTTTGGACACACTTGTTACTTTCATGCCAATAAAGCATGGTGAATTGAATTGAATCGATAGATCATCAAATTCTAAGAATACATAGTGTTTCAAATGAAGTCACAGCAAAATGAAACTGTATGTATTTTCGAAACTGCAAGACTAAAAAGATCTCAGAGAAAAAAAGATAGGGTGTGCGGTCTGGTTACGTAAGTATGTTTTGAGGTCAAAGATGTACATTGCTAGCACATTGTTATCACAGTGCGGAATCTCGTGTAAGTGCAAATGCAAAGCAGTAAAAACAAATCAAAAAGCGTTGCAGAGATACTTGACAAACAGGCCAGTTGAACATGTGGTTGGAAGTAAGGTGTCTTCTCGTTCTCTTACGTTGCTCTGTGTGCAACTTTATTAATGGTCTCCATTGTGTCAGCAGCAGTCTCCACTCCGGACTGTGTGAGACTAAAAAAAGCTCAGTGTTATGAAATAAACCACAACCAACTCACACTTTCTGCTAGCACACTGTACTGCCCCAAATACAAATGAGACCAGCAAAGTTTCCTGACACACTTACAGCGGTGTGATTGATTCTGACTGGCAAGGAAATAATGAGGCTACAAGACAAGCCACAAATCGACTGAGAAAAATCTATCACAATTAATATTCTCATAATTCATTTTTGCGTTCTGGGATTTCTGAGCAGGTCTGTCAGCTCATGTGTAACAATTCAAAAGTCAGCTTCCTGTTTTGTCTTATGATGACAACACATTTTAACTTATAGACTTAAATTGAGCAACACATTAATCTTAAGTGTCTTGTCATAGCAAGAAAGCATTTATGTTCATCATCAAAAGTATTTTCATTCCCCCTTGTATTCATATATCCAGTCATCCAACCAAAAATCCAGTTCCTTAAGAAGTTATCTTATCAATACTAGGAATGATTTCTGTTGATTATGGAGTCAAATTTGATGTTAAATACAATGCTAAGAAGAGCGCTGTAATGATCTGCAGAGCAAACGGGGATAAGAACCTTGGTTTTCCAACATTCTACCTGTCAGGGCAGGTGCTGTCTGTTTGCTGTAACACTAAGTATCTGGGACACGTCATTACCGATGAAATGGCTGATGATGATGACTTGTATAGACAGCGGCGTGTCTACAAGCTAACATGTTGGCTAGAAAACTCTCTTGGTGTTCAGATAAGGTTAAGGTGAACCTCTTTAGAGCTTATTGCACTCCTCTCTATACTGCCCCCTTGTGGGTCAAGTTTAAGAAGGCGAGCCTCAAGAAGCTCCAGGTTGCATATAATGACTGTCTGCGTATACTGCTTAGAAAACCAAGGTGGTGCAGTGCAAGTGAAATGTTCTGTAATGCACGAGTCAACACGTTCCATGCTCTTTTGAGAAATCTGATCATCTGTCGATTGAATGTTTCTCATAACTCTGTCATTATGCTGCTTTCAAATCCGAGGTGCTATACGATACCAGTCACCTCTGTGGAAACATTGGTGTATAACTGCCTTTTTTATTTATATTTGAGTGTTGTATGCATTTTAATAATAGACCAAGAGTCTCTTTAAATAAAGCTGATGATGATGATGTTGCAATCTTTATATATACAGTCTATGGTTGCAATACTAGAATAGGCCTATACTCAATTTTGAGCATTATAGAGCTACCACCTATCGAAGTATATGTCGCCCCCATGTGGTTGTACTGTGTATTGCAGACAATGGGATCGCAGCTCCATCTACCTGTCTGTTGCCTAACAAGTAATGTAAATGCTCAAGTAAAGTACAAGTACCTCAATCTCTATTGCAATATAGTACTCTTTCTGGAAAATGTTGATGGGATAACCAGCCAAAACATTTCAGTTTTTGACTAATCCAGCAACAAAGCTACTTTATTACATTGATCATACATACCACAAAACCATCCTAAGTTTTACTTATATTAAGACAATGTCTTGTGTTACACATTTTCAGCAATGTTATGTTTAAATATGCAAATTAGGCATAATATGTATTTCATTTCACTCGTTTGAATTTATTTTACAAAAAACTTTTAAAAAGTTGAATCAGACATTTTAGGATTTTATATTATTTAATTGTTTTGACTAGAAGGCATACTTACCATTTACACAAGAATGCTGGAATAAAGGAATGTTATTTGGTTATTTAATCAAAGGGCCTAATATTGAGTGAAAGACTGCACAAGCATGCACACACTTCAAACTGTCAATCACACTGGTTGGCAACCCCAAGGCTCCAGCCTCCCCCCACCCCTCAGTCTGTCCATCAGTGACACCCAGGTGAGTGAGAAACGACTTGAGAAGCAAGCCCTGACAGCTTTGGCCCTGAGGTGCTCCGATCATCTGCCAGTCAGCGAGCAGAAGCTCTCTGGCACCTCTTTCTCATACCCCTGCAGCTGCACACTGAGAAAAACCTGCTGTCTGCTTCCATTGCCAAAAAAAAGTTCCCAGACTGACAGTGATGATGCACTGACAGCATGTGCAGTCTGGACCTGCAGGACTAACACATTCTCATCACGAGTCAGCAGTCAGAACATGAGATTCCTCCTCTGTGGCACGCTGTCTACCTCTCCTCATTCATCTTCAGCAGTAATAACTGTCTACTGTAGATGTATTAGTATTAATATTGCTTCCATATCATGTACTGATGTTAAAGCAACATTTTGTTTCAGTTTTAAGGAACATTAGCGATGCCCTTATGAAGGTTCAGTCTTGATTTTCACAAGTAACAAGACAATAACCCCAAAACTGTACCACGTTCTATAAGCCAACCTTTATAAAATGTAATAAATGACTTAATTAGTGGTATGAATCAATTACAGATGCTTTATTGATTATTTATAACTTAAATCAATAACAACAAATGCGAGTTTGTTTGTGAAACGTCTCTCTGCCATTATGACAGAGCTCATATAGCGCTTTGAGCACCAGGAAAAGCTTTATCATGTATTATTATCATTATTATAATTAATATTAATATGCAATGATAAAGGATAATAAACTATGATAATAAACATTGATATGAAGCCCTTCTATAATGGATTGTTACTAGGCTATGTTATTATTAATGTTCCATGTTTTAATTATTACAAAAAATAACATTTATATCTTATGAGGATTTAGAAAAGTAGTACCGATAATATAATAATGGTTCAGTATTGTGCTGATAAGCTCAGGAAAACAAACCAAGCAATATATATTATTATAAAATGATGTACAAAAACATCTATTTAGGTGTATACCTTCACAAACAGTAGGCCTACGTTGTTGAAGAAAAAGTTTAAGAAACTACAAGTCCCTAAATTATTTGCGTGGCAAGTACATACCCTGCTAACGTTTGATTGGACAGACTCAGTAAAGCTCGCTGTGATTGGCCAACAGGGGCCATGTTTGCATTTCCAGCTGTCTAGATGCTGGCTAGCTAACCGGTTAGCTGTCTGAGGTACATTTGCCTCTTTTTTCGGGGTATTACATTAACAAACAGCCCTTCCACCCCCGTTAAAAACGGATTATTTGGAAGTCGCAATGCCGGTTCACTCCCGGGAGAAGAAAGAAAGTAACCACGAAGAAATGGAGGTGGACTTTCACGAGCAAGACGGCAGCAGCACAGACGAGGAGGACACTGTTAGCTCGTCTGTGTCTGAAGATGGAGACAGCTCTGGTAGGAAAATAAGGCCTTAAATATCCACCCACAGATACATAGTAGAGAAATATGCTTGTATGTCAGACATATGTGTTCATAATGACATGTTGCAGCTGCTGACATTTTGACTAACCTACAGTATGGGGTTGGGTGTTGAAAAGAGAAGCAGCCGGCATGGAGGTGTTGACAGAGCTGTCTGTGTTTATGACAACAGAGATGGACGATGAGGACTGTGAGAGGAGGAGGATGGAGTGCCTGGATGAGATGACCACCCTGGAGAAACAGTTCACTGACCTGAAGGAGCAGTGAGTTCCTCCCTCTGTTGTTCCCAACAAAATACAGGCTAGGCTCCACCTACTGCTGTCTGATCTGATACAACAACAACAACAACTACAACAACAACAACAACAACTACAACAACAACTACAACAACTACAACAACACACTTCTTAATGAAGTTGAACTTTTACTAAAGTTCTTGCTAGAAACCTTGAGATGATTGCCATGTTATTACTTGGGATTCTTGGGATGTGGGACCTTTTGCTGAGTGATAGTCATCCATATTCTCTAAACAAACTACAGTAGAAAATACATTACTTGGCATTATCCCTTTTTAAACTTTACATTACAATCACAAACAATAGTAATACCCTACTGTATATATTGGAATATATACATTTTTACATATTTATTTGTATTATGTTTTGTAGTACACATTTTTCTTAAATGAAGGTCCTGTTATGAATCAAATTCCCCCTAAACAACAAATTAAGTATTTAAAAAAAAAACAGATGTTATTCTTTTAAATCTTTTTGGGTTAGATAAAATCTCTCCAAACAATTTGGATATTTTTTTAAATGATTGAATTCTGTTTTGAACATGTTCTAATGTTTTATGTCTTTTACACAGTATACTTATATGTGTTGTTGAAGGAGCCTGGGACTGGGCAAACTGTAGAAACACCAGAGAGTTGGGAAATTAGATTCTAATTTGGTCTCTGATTACCTCATGGCCTAGGCTTTCTAAAGACCTGTTGAGTTTCATTCAAATCCCTTATTTATTACCAATGATTTAAATATGCTTATATGCGCTTGTTGGTTGAGTGAAATGGTAATAACCACAACATTTCCAGTTTATGTTTATGAATGGTTTTTCTTTGCCTCATATGTTCCCCTGTTCAGGCTGTATAAGGAGCGCCTGAGCCAGGTGGACATCAAGCTGCAGGAGGTGATGGCTGGCTGTGCACAAGAGTACCTGGAGCCTCTAGCCAACCTGCAGGAGAACATGCAGATCAGAACCAAAGTGGCTGGTAGGTCAATGTAATATTACCGGCTTTACTGGGATATACTTACATATTTAGATCTGGATTAATGCCTTTGACTGTTCATGTCAGCCACCTATGGTGCCGAGAATGTTAGGATGGCTTGTTATGTGTATAAAATAAACCTTATTGTGGTAAAAGCAAAGGATACTGTGTTTAATATATTTTAGGTGTCATACCTCGTCATTTGACCCCTATGGAATTAAACTAAATGTTCGTTTTTTTGCAGTTTGAAGGCTATATAGTCACATATATTGAAACATATATATATATATATATATATATTCTTTACTGCTGGCTGCCTCATAATGATTTCTTGTTTGAATGCTCCTCTCAGGGATCTACAGGGAGCTCTGTTTGGATTCAGTGAAGAACAAGTATGAGTGTGAGATCCAGGCCGCGTGCCAACACTGGGAGGTGAGAGCTCAACTAATGACTTAGGTTTGCTTTTTCGTCAAAACACATTATGCTCGAATAAATCACTGCCTCTACAATGTGGGATATATATTGTAATTTTCTGAGTTTGGGTTTTTGCCACAGTAGTGAATTAAACCCCAGTCTGCTTTTCTGGGGAAAACGTTGTAATTATCATGTTCTAACGTGTGTGTCTGCCCCCCAGAGTGAGAAGCTGCTGCTGTTCGACACTGTGCAGAGCGAACTGGAGGAGAAGATACGAAGACTGGAGGAGGACAGACACAGTATTGACATCACTTCAGGTACAAGTACAGTCACATCCTGCTCAGAGTCCCTATTAATACACACTATTAGGATATATACGGTTGGGAAAAGTTAATAGTGTTGTGCTGAATAGTTTGGAGCTTCAAGCTTTCAAGAATCTACATTTGAATGATTGTGTTATAATACTTGTATAATGAGATGCTTGTAGTGGTGACAGACGTTTTTCTGACTTCTGGGATCCAAAGATTTCCAATAAGACTGAATGTTAGCATTAATATCAAAAAGATGGGATGTAATCATTTTTAAAAGTCAAACCAAAATCTTCTTGATTCCAAATTTTTCTTTATGCAACCAGTGCATTTATTGTAGAGAATTGAAAAGGGTAGACAGAGGGGATGACACGCAGCAAATGATCCCAGGCAGGATTTTAACCGGGGTCCTCCGCCCGTGGACCAAGCCCCAGTATATTATAATAATAATAATACATTGAACTTTTATAGCGCTTTTCCTAGTGCTCAAAGACGCTTTACATAAAATCAGAAACAGTACCAAAAAAAGCCGCCAGCTCCACCAACAGAGCCACACGGCGGCCCCAACATGTTTCTTCTAATGAAATAGTTACGTTTTAAAAGGCTCTTTCATTTCTGGAATTCATTAGTTGAGGTTTTACTTCTGAGACTTTTAAAACATTTTTAGGGTAAATTAAAAATACATCAATAAAAGCTTTTGATACAAAAATAATGACATTTTGTAAAGCTCAAATCATTTATTTATCAAACTTAGAAACTGTCAACTGACAAGCCTGTTAATGAATTGTATATTTCAAGTTCTAACCTACCTCTGATAAGGGGAACGATCAGTAATGTTAGTGAGGAAGCAGTGAGGAAATGTTGCAATTTCAAGAATATGAAGAATGCCAACATTTCCACTTGTGATCTAAACAAAGGGCATTCAAATTGAAAAGGAATTTCCCACAGAAGCTCTCCTTTCTAATTGTTCCTCTCTCCTTTCCAGAGTTGTGGAATGATGGATTGCACTCGCGGAAAAACAAGAAAAAGGACCCGTTCTGCCCCGTCAAGAAGAAGAAGCCTGTTGTTGTGTCTGATATCCTTTTCCCTTTAGTCCTCTCCTCGTCTTATTGCTCCCATCATTCAGCTGCAGAACATTTCCCCATGTTATTAACACCGATGTTTCCTGTCACCTCGCTGCGTGTTCCTCCTTAACCTCTCATTTCCACGGCCTTATATCGTCTACATGCTGCAGGATCTTGATATCCTGGAAGACTGGACTGCGATTAGAAAGGTATTTTGGAAACGAGGGCAGTGTTGGGTGAATAACTCTGTGTTGTGATTCGACCTTTTAGTTGTGTCTGTTTCCTTTCCCCCGCAGGCGATGGCATCACTGGGGCCACACAGGGTGAAGGTGGACGGTAAGAGCCTCTCCTCGTCCTCTGTTACATTCAATACCTGGCTGAGTGCAGCCATCGACCCACACGCTCACCGGAGACTCAATACTGTCAGATCAAAAGTGCTCACAGTGGAAAGGAGACAAATGCTACCTCCTCGTCTGTCTTTGTCCTTGTTCCACATACTTTTGTTATATAATCGTTCTCTATTATTCTGCCCTTTTCCCACCTCATTCTCTCCCTCCAGTCCCTGCAGTGAAGCCAGACAGACATCACCACGTGGCGCGCTTCGAGGAAGGGCGACTTTTCTACGACAACCAGTGGTACTGCAGGGGCCAGGCCATCTGCATCAACAGGAAGGACGAGTACCCAGCCAGGTGTGTGTGGGTTTATGTTAGTCTTTGTAATAAGAAAAGCTGATGCTATGATGCTCAATAATGTGTGTTCTCATCCAATTTCTTATTTCTAAGACATTGGGCCTCATATTGAAAGCAATATAAGACCACATTTCCTCTTATATTGTTATATATCCATGATTTATTCTCATCCTGGGTAATAGAACATTCCTAATAAAGTGTTCAAAAGCAAGAAAACACTTTTTTTTTACAGCCAAGTTTGTCAAAAGTAAAAGAAAAAATGACATCGATACTATATCTCAAAATGTTGATTATTAAATGTTTTGGATTCATTATAATGATTAGTTTTCCTACTACTCTGAGGTGGGGTTTTTTTCTGCCACCCCAGATTATGCTCTGAAAAATCTAATTTGTTCAAGTTAATTTCTTTCTTTCATTTCATTGTTCTTGCAGTTCCATCTATTTAATTCTTGGGCATGTGCCAGAGTATTTGCACACAGTACAACACCTGCCCTTAGTACAGTTTAGTGGGCGTTACCTATGTTAACAATCAACAATCTGCCAGATGCTTCTTATTTATGAACAAGTGGGATTAATCAGTTGGATACCAAAAAGCAAATGTTGATGTTTGAGAAAGTCTGCTGCATCTATATTCAACATCAGATTAAAGAGCATGTTGCTCAATGAGGCCAGATGTGTGACACCGTGGTCACATGGTGGATTCATTCGTAATGGAAATGATTATGGATGGATTCAAACAAAGAGAGACACTGTGGCTTTAGGCTGGAATCATTGTGATTCCACATTCTGCTCTTTGTGCGTCCTGCCCTGTGTGTCCGTACACCATGCTCAGTGAACACAGGGTACACCTTCATGATCGTTTAACACTTAAGTGCACAGTGTTATTTTCCCCTATGAATACATGATGTTGATACATCACTGCAGTAACCTCTGACTACCGTGATGTCACGCGGAATGATGTGGTATTGATATCACGCTAACATTGTCCTATGTTTGTGTCCCGCAGTGCCATCATCACCACCATCAACAACGACGAGGTGTGGTTCAAACGACTCGACGGCACCAAGTCAAAGCTGTACATCTCCCAGCTGCAGAAAGGCAAATACACCATCAAGCACTCGTAAAAACACATGCATACAGACAAGAACCATCATCTCGGCTGTTTATATTCATCTCCTTTTAGTATATTTCTACATTCTTGCCATATGTACAGTCACACATCAAACCATGTGTATTCAAAGAAAGATCAGTCTATGGAGACTCTAACTTCTCTGTAAATATGTATGTATGTGGATATTATCAACAAGGTCACAAAGTGTCATTTTCTCTGGAACGGAGATCAATGCAAAGTGCTGCTAAAAAAAACAAACCATGAAGGTCAAGGAATCGGAGCGGTAGAGAACTTTGATTGCGGAACGTGCCTTTCTGAGCAGACGATGCCTGTCCCGAACTATCATTATCGATGCAGTGAAGCCTTACGCTGTACTGTGTAAGCACCGAGAGAGCTGAAGTGGGTCAATGTCCGAGAGACCCCCCCTTAACCGATCCAGGTAAGGATGCCGTCAGAGGTGTGTTTGATTTGCCTCTCCGGACGTGCCGTATAGACTTGAATGCCTCTATAGAGAACATTTAGAGAACATTTCGTAAACGAAAGTTGCACAAGTGTTAATATTGTGATGGATAATGATCAATCAATTTTGAGTAAATGATTTTATTGTGAACATAAGGAGAATTCTTCAAGGACCCCACGCGGGTATTGTTGATACTTTGGGGGGCTGCTGTACTAAATGACCTTTTAGGTGTTTTTAGTGTCATTTTCTGAGAATTATAATGTTTTAAGTTCAAACCAAGGCCAATTCAATGCACTAAAACAACTTTAAAGATACAAATCTGTATTTTTAAAATACAGTAATGTAAGGTGCCCTGTATATAGAGATGAATGTCTTTCCGTCACTCTGATACTTCCCTCCGTCTCTTATCATGTTGTCATGCCTCTCATAGTGCCTACTGTTGATCAAACATTAGAGGCAGGGATAAGGATTAAAGGGATAGTTTTTCAAGTAGGTTTGTATAATGTACTCGTCCATAGTCGGTGTATTTCTAGCAGTAGATGACAGTTAGCATGCCAAAGGTTTGGAGAAACCAACAGAGGTACTTGCATGGAAGCTAAGCTATGTATTGCTGTGGACAGTGGCAGCATCAAAATGTGTTTTAACCACCTGAAATAATCCCAAGTAGTGTGTTTATGTATATATATATATACAATATTTTCAGCATCTTTCCTTAAGCGAATCCGAACTCTATAGCCTATAAACCGCTAAGGTCATACAATGTCACGAACAAAGTAGCCATTGTAGAGCAGCAGCTTCCGTGTTTTGCGTGGTTAAATAACAGTTTCTATTAATGGACTGTGGAGGCTTTGAAGAAAACCAACCAGTGGCTTTAATTTCTCATCAAAATGGCTGTGATGGTACACATATTCTAAAAATACACTTATGAACATTGATATTGATTGTTTTAGGTAGGCCTTTATTTGAAGTGGCTACAATAAATGTTCCCTGTCCACTACAGTACAATATTTAGCTTCTGTGCCAGTATACCGGCCTTGCTGGGCATATTCCGATGCCATCTGCAGTAGGTAATACACTTGTACTTATAAAAGTACCTCATACCACTTTAACAATCCAAACTATCCCTTCAAGTTGCTGTACACCACCAGTTTGAACTGACTCCTAGTCTGTGGTGGTGGTGGGCTCATATTCGCCTCACATTTATAATTCATATTGCCATTTTTCAGGGTATTTTTATCTTTATTCTACTTTGTAACTGGACTTAACCCAACTAGAAGGATGGGTGAAGTCCTGCAGTGTAAGTGTTTCATCGGAAAGATCCAAAGTATCTCCCATTCTCTGTCTTTTCTTCTGGTTTGTGTTACTCCCCTATCAAATGGCGCTTCTTTTTACCTATATCCCATTATCTTTCTAGCTGACAGTAAAACTTGATTCTTAACATTGATGTATTTACAGAACAATGGGATATCAAGGCTAAGGGATTTTATTTGTGTAAAATCCGTCCAATCGTATGTGTAAATTTAGCTAGATTCAATCAATGGAATCTTTCTCTATGTTGTACGGTGCTTTATATTTTCAGCAATGCATTGCAAGTATTACCTGCCAACAGTGTTGTGAAGAGAGGTGCTCGGAACATTATATCATGAACAGGAACAAAGTGTCTGTAAAGCCTGGTAAGGCATCAACTCAGTCTAACTTTTGATAGGTTGTTTCTGCTTGTTTTTACCTTTTTATGTGTTATTGTTCCTTTCACCATTTCAGATAAACAGAAACAAATGTGACTTTGTGCCAATGCATGTACAGCTGATTAAAGATTTTTGTTTGTATCATTTATAGAGTCAACCCTGCACATAAACTTTTCAATAATATCCAGAAAAAAGAACATTTGTATTTCCATTTTACTTTTAAAATACTTTCTGCCAGCATTTTTAGCAAAAAAGAAAAGGTGTACATTTAGGTGATTACAGTATCAACATGCAGCGTCATGCTAATTTACCTTACTTGAACCTGAGAGCTTTCGATAAAAAATATCCCAGCTTTGCATAGAACTTAGATGGATGTGGCCAATCATGCAAAGAGAAGCCCAGATAGAATCTTATATAATACCCCGGTGTACAAAGGGAGAAAGTCCCTGACTATGCTCAACCCAAAGTCAACCCTGAGGTCTGCTGAATCCTGGCTACACTCCCCAACCAAAATAAAGTAGCTTATTTAGGAGAAAAATGCTGAGCTAGTCCTATTTGATAATGTCTCTTTGGTCTGCTTTGCTGTTCAACCTCTGTCACTTATTTCTGCCAGAGGGACACTCACTAGATTAACTCCACGCACAGGTATTGATTCAGGATCTACGCTGATGTACAATTTTTTGCCCCCCTTGACTGTCCCTCTGCCCTCTGCCCTCTGGCCTCTGCAACACCTCCTGCAGAACCGCTTCAACCTTTGATCGATCTATTGGCAATATTGATCAGAACCGGTAGGGTGGCCAAGAATTCAAAGGAATCAATTGAAAGGCTAATTAGTTAAATTGTGCCTTTTTAGGTAGAGCTTTTTAACCAAAACTGGTGTTTTATTTTTGTGGAATGTACCCTTTGGTGACACTAGCTCAATACCATGAAGTTATGATAGAGAATATATGTCAATTTCCACATTTCACATAAGCCCTCCTTGCATTTCTTTGTTGCATGCCATACTCCTGGTCAGAACTTAGGTGTCAGTAGTGCTCTACATTGGAGAGGAATCAGCCTCTGCACTCCATCGGAGGAGGGAGGTGGTTAGTGAATCTGGGGCACCCTGCTGCTGAAGCCCTCCAGCTGATGAGAGAGCGAGAGAGAAAAGAGGAGGGATGAAGGCACAGTTTGATCACAGCTCGCTGGCCACGTCTGCTACCGCAACAGAGAGAGGGAGAGCAGGAAAAAAGGAAAATCCCCATCACCGCGTCAAAGGCAGCAGCAGCAGCTAGCAACAGGGCTGTCTGTCTCTTTACACGGCATACAGCATCTCTCTAGAGCTTTCCTTGAATCAGCTTCACACAGTCCTGTCAACGTGTACACGATGCATGCCTCCTTGAGGTCCAAAATGGACTACCCTGTCACTAAGATGCATGTACACACGTATAACCGCAAAGGAAAGGGTTTCCTTGTTGGTTTTACATCTAATGATGTTGGTTGAATCTGGATATTAGGTTCTGGCCATCTTCTGCCCAATCTATACTTAACGAGTAACCAGAACTGGATGGTCATTGGGACGTGTTTACCGCAACGCTGGGGCTAATTAGACCGTGAAAGTGTCACACGGTGCTAAATTACTTATATCCCGGCCCCTCTGCTGTGCGATGTATGTGCATCGCTTTGTGTTTTCAAGAGAGTTAGACTGTATCTGGGTCTCTTTGTGCATGCATGCATGCATATGCTGTGTGCCGGGCCCTGTGCGTCGGTGTGTACCTTTTTTATGCTGATTGTGTAAGAGAATGTTAAATGTATACATCCATAAGTTAACATCAAAGGGATGAAGCAAGCTGCTCATCATCGGGAGTACGAGGAGAGGCGAGAGCGAGGTGGATTCAAGTTGATAGTGCTGCAGCCTGCAACCTGGGTTCTGAATGAGCCTGGCGTCACCTGGTGAACCAGGGGCCTATGATTCATTAGCACTGAGGGTTTAGCCGATTATTCATCCTATACTGTTTACATGCAGTCTATTGTATCAGTTACATTTTATTAACCTTTTTAATACCTGAAGACTAATTTTGAAGAAGAATATCCTTTGGAAATGTCCCCTGATACGCTCACCTTAATTTCTCAAGGCACCAGTGCTTTGCTGCATTTCAAAAGCCACCTTTACCTAAGCATCCACCATAGCCTCTAAATCAAGTTTGCCATAAGGGTTGAGTTTTGTCCAGTCACTTTTTACTCCCTGAAGTATTTTTGTGGGGGGTGACTAGGTCATAGCCTGGAGGCCAAATATACTGTACTGACTGAAAGGGTTGGAGTGTAGCAAGTGAGACAAAGCTGTGGGTAGACATCCACACTAAATCAATTTTCCAGTAAAGGTGTTAAGTGATTCGCTCTTGGGAAATTCAATCATAAATAAAGACACTTTTTCTCCCACAGGGTGACAAATGTCTGGTGAACAGAAATGTCAAATTCAAGTAATCAATAATGCAAGCACTTAGTAAAGGACAACATTTACAATGTTTTGTATAGAAGGTGCATTCGTCAATTTCAGATGGCACTCATGATTGAGAGTGAGCAGGAGAAAAAAAATGCATCTGGATTGTATGTATCTGTTGTTTTCAGGACTTCTCGGCTCCTGTGCATGACCCACCAGCCCTATTCCTGGTTAGACTGTTTCCCAGCAAGTCTGTAAAGTTTGACAACCTTTGCCCTCATCTCGAGTTTCCTGGACTTGACAGCTGAACAACAAAACGATCCACTTGATGGTGCTTTGCTACTGTTTCTTGGCATCTGCAACGCACCCCTGAAATCCTACTTGGAGTCCAAAGACTTACTTCTGCAAGAACAACCAAGAAAAAGAAGATGTAACAGCAGCCAACAATATCTTCTTTGAAATGAAGTCAGGAATTGCAGCAAACAACAAGTTTTGGCATATCCACATAAAAAGCCTTTGTTTCAGCAACAGATCCCTTTCAGAAACTAATTCTTAAATTCTGCACAGTGGCTTAGATGACAGGCTGAAATGACAGTTGTAGCTACTCTCAAACCGCAAACTACTATTAGAGTATCTAAGGTCTGGCAGGACCTGAGCCCGTACAGCAGGAGGATAGCAAAGTTTTTTGAGGTCCCTATACTAACTCCTGAGAGAATCCTTGGTGATCGAAGACAGTAGCCAGAAAAATGGCTGTTAATTTCAATTTCAAGGAATGCAACCGAGCAGTTTTTGTCTTTGATTGCTAAACCTTTACGCAGAACTTACTAGTCAAGATACCAGTCAAGATGAGCCTACATGATCAAAGCTGCATGCCCTCCATCTTGATTCTTTAGCTGTCAGAGACTCAGGCAGGAGGAACTGCCTTTCAATCTCTTGTCCTGGGCAGAAGGTTTATGATATGCTGAGGTATCCCAGTTAACGCAAGCTAAAATCCCTAATACTGGGGGATCTTGTTGAATAGCATGACTGGCACAGTGCCCAACTCCGGACAACCTCAACAGGATTGCTGTGAGGACGGGGAGTTGATCTGGAGAGTTTCCCAATCTGTTCTATTTATCTCTTTCCTGTCTGTTACATTCTCCTCTATAAAGGTGTATGCATCAGTGATCTCTTTCCTCTCATTTAGGGTTTGGAGAGAGTTTATTTTTAACCACCCTCTACTAAATTTCTCTGAGGTGGCTGCATCCTGTGGTACACTCCTTTCCCCCTCAGTAGAAATTGCCTGGTTATACCCACTGGGGATGCACCTTTGAAGCTGTACATCCATCAAGAAAGCATTGCTATGTGTTCTGACAACATCCAAAAAGGTGAACAAGTTGTGTGGCACATTTAGGGGCCTTGAGAGGCGCTACCTTCAGACAGAATACCTTTTAGGTAGTGAATATTAAACGTTTTTCAGGTGAACAATTGTTCAGGTTCAGTGCTCTTAAATCATGATCCTAGAGGTGACCAGAAAAAGTATATATTGCCCCAACTGACACCAAAGAACACCAAAGAACACGTCCCAACGTAACGTCGCCTCACGTCTCCTGCGTCTTGGCCAACAGTCGCACTGGAACACACCGCAAAGACTTCAGCCGACGGCCAAGTAGCACGTACGAACTGCGCATGCGTGAGTGGCAATATCTCTCCTTACCAGCAGGCGGCGGTAGTGTGTATTCATCATTCAAAAGAGGCAACAACCGGAAGACACACTGCGTGATACACCGAGAGAAGAAAAACAGACTGCGTGATATAAACAAACAACAAATAGCGTGTGCGTTCCATTTTCACTCTACAGCGAGAAGCTCATGGGGCTTTCCCGAACCTGTGTCGAGAGCTGGAGTTAAATGAAATCTCAGATGTGCCTTCTTAATAGTTTGTTTGAGTCCCTCACTTCCGTTTCGCTTCTCATGCACTGATTCGCTAAGCTGAACAGCCAATCAGAGTGATTTCTTTGGCCGACAGCCTCCCGATTCAACATGTCGAATCGGCGGCGGAAGGTGTCGGCACGGCCGAAAAGACACGACGGTGCGTGACACACCAAGACACACCAATCTGAGTAGGGCGACACAACGCTCATTGGCGGCCGGCTTGGTGTGTAAGGGACTTTAAGGCCGCTACACACCGGGCCGATTTTGGCCGTCGATAGATGTCTGGCCGTCAATGAGCGTCATGCCGCCCTACTCAGATTGGTGTATCCCGCACCGTTGTGTCTCTTCGGCCGTGCCGACACCTTTCGCCGTTGATTCGTTGATGTTGAATCGGGAGGCTGTCGGTTGAAGGCCGTCGGCGAAATAAATCACTCCGATTGGTTAGTAGCTATCAGTGTTGTGCTAGTTACTGAAAACCAGTAACTAGTTACCATTACTAGTTACTTCATTTCAAAAGTAACTCAGTTACTTTACTGATTACTTACACCAAAAAGTAATGCCTTACTTTGAAAAGTATCTTTTTAGTTACTTAAAAAAAGGGCTCCCATTAATGCCCTTATAGCCTTCATTTCAGTACTGTTATTGCATTGGAGAATAATACAATCTGTTGATCAACTTGACATGCATTATATGCAATCTGGATTGCATCGATATTAGCTGGCTTTCCATTTTTGTATATTCTTTCTCCAGGTAGTTGGAAAAAGTTTTCCGTCCCATATGCCGTGTGCCGCCCGGACATGGTATCATGCTAACTAGCTCCCTGAAAGCGCGTGACTCCACTGTAGCAATAGCCTGCATGTGT